ATTATAAGGAAGTCCTTCTGTTAGTGTGCTCCATCACCACCCCCTTAAAAGTACTACCTAGCCCTTGGTGGCGTCCCAGTCTGCGTCCCGGTTGGTTTCGTCCTATACATACACAGAGCTTTTTTTTTTTTTTTTTTTTTTTTCGGGAAGAGAGCCTATTGCACATTATATGCCAGCGACGGAGTCAACTCCAGACTACCACTAGTAAATTAAATCCAGTTTGAGCAGAGACGGGCAGAAGGGAGATGGTTGCACTGAGTGCAACACCACAGACTTGCAAACACCTATTCTCTGTGAGAGTAAAGCCTACGGCTTTCATCCAAATAGAACGCCGCCCTGTCATTTAATTATTATAGCTGTATTTGGGGCAGCTTTCAGTCCAGATGCAGCGAGAAATCCAGATAACTTTTCCAATCAACTACATGATTGCTAACACCTGAATTTGCCGCAACTTTCGGTCTCGGTACCGTAACGCCTGAAAGTTCTCCGTTGTGTGAATTAACTTGGGACCCAAAGAAAGACCAGGTACGCCCACACCAGAGACAGCTCCAGACTATCTTCAGCAATCTACCATCTTTCTCCGAATCGAACACCCTGTCAGGGTCCTTATGCCCGTATCTAGACTGAAAGTTGCCCCAAATACTGCTTTGATAATGATAAAAAAGACCATGTGCTCAATGGGGTGAAGATGGTAGCATTGTGGACCAACATCTAGACCAAGTACATCAATGCATGCCTCTGTGAGCATTTGCAAGCTAGTAGTACTGTAGTAGTACGTTTTAACAGCGTCAAAATCACAAGTCAGCACACCTTGGAATAATCATCATCAATTGCAATAAGATAGAGCCTTTTTCCCAAAAAAAAAAAAAAAAAAAAAAGATAGCCTAATGCGAGCATACTCATGCAGTAGGACTTAAAGTTTCCCGGATGCATCGGCCTCATGATTGATTCAAGAAGATGGAATTTCTTCCAGAGACTGATGTGAGTACTGCATCTTAAACCACTGCTGCAGCGCTTTTTAAAGTCGTGCCCATTAACGCGCCACGATTTTAGGAAACGTACGGGCCACTACAGGAGCGCCAAAATTCATCCGTTTCTACTAGAAACGTTTCTACTCTCAGTCTTTTTTTCTTTTTCGCCGGCCGATGGGTGGGCCAAGTACTGGTGGTTTAAACTTTAAAGACTTAAACCTATTTCTCCGACTCCGATTTCTTCCCAGTCAGCTTCTTCTATCATCATGCCAGATTCCTCAGCTTATTTTAAAAAGTACCAGAGACTTTATAACAATGATCCAAGTTCATCCAAACTTTCTTTTAAATTCTTCTGCAGACTAATCCGCAAGGTTTTCAGTCTGTGAAATCAAAACTAATTTAATTAAATGTATTTCTCAGAAAGCTTGAGAATCTGTCTGATGAAGAAAGCTTTGAAGTTTGTACCTCACTCAAGCCTCGGGTTCTGTGCTTACTTCATCGCACCAAAAAGGGATCAGGGCTCATTCAATTGGGACAAGTGGTTCACAAACTTCAGCGAAGCGACGACGAGAGTAAAGAGACCAAACAAAATCGATGTTCTGTGCTCGCTACGACTGAGATTTCCTGAGTTAAAGTCTGCGACGCTGTGGAGTTCAGAAATTGTACCATGGCCTCGGGCCTCGCTGCACTAATCTCAAGATGCACAAAAGACACCAAAGAAGGCAATGGATCGTTCCATGTTCTAGCGGGGGATTCGTCCTTCGGGACATCCGTTAAAACTGGAACGATACAGAGAGAGAAGATTAGCATGGCCCCTGCGCAAGAATAACACGCAACAAACAAACAAAAAAAAAAAAAAAAAAAAAAAAAGAAGAAGAAGAAGATGGCAATGTATCTTTGCATGTTCTAGCGGTGGATTCAGTCTCTTGGCAATGTATCTTTCCATGTTCTAGCGGGGGATTCAGTCTCTTTTTGCACATTTGGAGACAAGTGCAGCGAGGCCCCCCTCATATGCAAGCACCAATAGCGGCCTCGAACACGAGTTACTCATCTGACATCAGTGACACTTATAATGGGGGTCTAATGGGGGTATAATGAGGGTATAATGGGGGTATAATGGGGGTTCCACAGGGCGTGTTCCGCAGAGTCTCACCAGAGTAACTCCATAAGATGAAAGTAAGAGAGAGGATGAGCTGTGGAGAGTCAACACAATCAATCAACATGAATTCATGAGACCGTCGCCGCCCCTAAAGTACTAGGCTTATTTAAAAAAAAAAAAAAAAAAAAAAAAAAAAAAGTGATAGGCTTTGGGTGGGTTATCTAAGTGAACTGAAATTCAATCCTTATGCAACAGAGCGCTCCTTATGTCAGTGCCGCAGAAGACGACATCGTCGCTAACTTTATTGCTGGTGGGTTATCGAGTGAACTGAATCCGTACGCAAGAAAGCGCTCCTTATGTCCGTACCCAAAAGAGCGCTCCTTATGTCCGTACGCAACAGAGTGCTCCTTATGTCCGTGCCTCTCCGTACGGTGTACGACGGAATGTGAACTTTGAGCACGTGAAGTTCCAGCGCAGCCACGGGCCAGTGCAAAAACTTGGAGCAGGTGCAGGAAAAGATGACTCTCTGTCCTTGGGGACATCCGTAAAAATTGGAACGATACAGAGAAGATTAGCATGGGAAAAAAAAAAAAAAAGATGACTCTATAGAGTCGAGACGTGCCACGTATTCGTCGGTCACTGTGAAAGCAGGACTGGTAAACAGAATAGAAGCTGTACTTGGTCGACAAAAGCGCAGAAGGGGGAGCTTAGGGGGAAGAGAGAGAATCGATCACTTAAATTGCGCCAAAAAAGCCTCGAACTTGGACGGAAAGAGAAAAGAGGGAGGAGGAAGAGAGAGGACCAATCACGCAAATTGCGACAATAAACAAACCAAAAAATAAATAAATAGAAGCTGTACTTCACCGGAAAAGAGAAAAGGGGAAGGGGTTTTTCTTTTTCTTTTTCTTTTTTTTCAATCACTCAAATCATCAAATTGTTTTAATGTGGCCCGATGGACCACGGATCAGATATTAAACTGATCAGAACAGATCCATTTCACTTGATCTTAGCCAAAAGGCCGAGAAAGGTATGAAATCATCTAATTGTGCCCATCACAAACATCACAAAGTTTAACACACATTGTACATACAACTTCAAGTGATCGGTTCTCTCTCTTCACATTGTATCCTTGGTAAACGTAATCACACAAAATTAATTGCATACACGAT